CCGCCGCGCCGGTACCCGGGTACGGGAGGCTAGCGGGGGGGGGGGGGGGCACCGGGACGCGGGATGTCCCGGGGGTACCGGGGATTAGTGGGGTTGCGCGCACCGGGAGGTGTAAGGGTGTTGGGTGTCCCGGTGGTACCGGGGGCTCAGAGCGGTGGGCGTACTGCAAAGGGTGTGGGGTAGGGTGTCACGGGCGGCACCGTGGGGGAGCCGGGTCGGGAGTCCCCGGTGGCACCGGGGAGAACCGGTGGTACCGGAGGTGAGTCGCGGCGGATGTTCTGCATAGTGCATGGGGTCGGGGCGTCCCGGCGGCACCGGGGAGGGGAGCCGGGATCGGGGCGTCCCGGCGGCACCGGGGAGGGGAGCGGGATCGGGGCGTCCCGGCGGCAGCGGAGGGAACCGGGTCGGATGCCCCCGTAGCACCGGGGGCTCAGGCCGGTGGGCATCTTGCAAAGTGCATGGAGTCAAGGGTCCCGGTGAAAGGGACCGGGCGGTTTGCGCCGGGCGGTGCTGGCACTCGGGGGTACCCGGTAGCACCGGGGAGAGCCGGGCTGGCAGAGCGAGGGGTCCCGGTCCTGGGGGTCCCCGGAAAAACCCGACGCCGGGCTCCGGGAGGAGCCGTATGGGACCAGGAGCCGTTTCTCGGGGCTGTCCCCAGCCATACTGGGCTACGGGGCTGGAGCGGGGCTGGTCCCCAGTCCCGGGACCCCCCCCACGGGATCTGACTGCAGCCAGAGAGAGCCCGGGGGCTGCGGGGGGGCAAAGCCACCCCCAAACCGGCCATCCCCCCGGGAGCCCCGAGCAAGAGCGGTCACGGAGCCGGAGCGGGCAGCACGGTGTAGGCAGGACTGCGTAGGCAGCAGCGGGGACATTGAGGTGCGGGCAGCAGCCGGGACGTTGCCTTGCAGGCAGCGCAGCGCAGGCAAGCCCACCCGCTGCCCAGGCAGGCCTGGCAGCGGCTGCATTTTGGCAAGGCAAAGCAGCAGGTGCCAGCAGGGAGGTGGGCAGCGTTACCCGCCCCCGGCACTGCCGGCTGCTCTTGCCCGTTTAGGGCCCGGTGCCAGGGGCTTCCACCAGCCCACGCGGGCATTGGCCTCCGGGCCCGGACACGGGCAGCTGCCTGTACTCCCAAATGAGGAATCTGTAATTACTGCCTGGGCTGTGGGCAGTGCTGGGGCAGCTGCGGGAATTTGTGCCCTGTTCCCCCGGGGGGTTCGTGGCAGGGGGGACCCCAAATGCCACCAGCGAACGGGTGAGGGCAAAAGCAGATGAATAAGGAAGCGGCAACCGCACTGGGTGCTGCTGCCTGCTGCTTCCAGGCAAACCCCACACCGGGACCGCAGGAAGGGTCCAGGCTTTGCATAGCCCGGCCAGCAATTTGCAGCCGGGATTTGCATGCAGGCAAGGAAAGCTGCCGCCAGCAGAGCCGCTGTCCCCTGCTGCCATGTCCCCAGCGTGGCCTCGTGTCCCCTGGTTGCATGTGGGGACAGGGGGCAGCTGGGGGGGTCACCATCCCCTCTGAACCCACCATCTGAGCCTGGCACAGCCCTGGTCCCTGGCAGATGGACACAAACCCCACTGGGGCACCGGGAGTGGGCTGGGGGCTGGTGCCAGTGGGTGCCAGGGCTGGACCCACGCTGGGTATTTTTAAACCCAGCTCCCCAGATGGGTATCGGCTTTCTGGGCACCAGCAAAAGCTGCTCAGACTTGGCTGGGGGAAGCCGGGGGCCGGCAGGTGAGCTGGCAACAGTGCCATGCCGGGGCTTCGGCGGATGGGGGCCAGGGGCGGTGTGACCTTTAAAGGTCTGTGAGATGAATTACATTATCGTCTTGCCATCAGGGTCACTTCTGGCTTGGCTTTCAGCTGGACCCAGGACTCCTGTTACGTCTTACGTGGGGCCAGATCTGTGCCACAGTGCCGAGGGGCTGCAGGGTGGGCTCCTCTTCCCGCTGCAGCCGGCGGGTCTGGCTGCGTTTTGCTTTTCCAAAGGGCTCTGAAACGGGTGCAGGGGGGAGTCAGACCCTCGAGCCCTGGTTCAGCCCAGGCTTCGGCTTTCCCTGGCCAGTCCCGGGGCTCGGGAATCCACCGGCCGCATTCCTCCCTCCTTCCCTTTCGGTGGCTTTGCTAAGCCAGCGTTTTGGGCAATGTCCTTTGTGCCCATTGGCTGCGGTGTGACCTTTCCCAGGGACGGCGGTGGCCACCACCGGGCAGCCAGGGGCTCGGAGGGTCTGGCTCCAGCACGAGGGGGATCCTGGGGAAGCCCCCGTGGTTCTGACCCCGTCTCCATCCTCTGCCCGGGATGGAGGGGCCACGGGGGGGGCAGGGACGACGGTGGGGTCCCCGCTGACGCCCTGCTCTCCCCACAGAGATGCCCTGCATCCAGGCGCAGTACGGCACGGCGGGCGCCGGCCCCTGCGAACGCTGCCCGACAGAGTTGCTGAGCCCCGACGGTGGCCGTTTCCCCATGGAGGTGGCCGGAGCAGACCTGGCAGCCGCCCCTGCCCTGCCCAGCTTCAGCACCTTCATGGAGGGCTACGCCGGCGAGTTCGACGCCTTCCTCTACCAGCTGCCGGCCGGCAGCCAGCCCACCGCCGCCGCTGCCTTCAAGCTGGAGGACTTCCAGGTGTACGGCTGCTACCCCGGTGCCTTTGGCGGGCAGCCAGATGAGACCCTCTCCTCCAGCGGCTCGGACTGTTATGGCAGCCCCTGCTCCGTCCCCTCGCCCGCCACGCCGGGCTTCCAACCGCCCCAAGCTCCGGGCTGGGAGGGCTCATTTGGGGCGTACTCGCCCCCACCGAACTACGATGGCGGGCGGCCCTGGGCTGAGCCGGCCAAGGGCGGTGGGTCGCAGCCCCCCTTCTTCACCTTCGGCCCCCCGGCACCCAGCCCTGGCGGGTCCCCCGGGACCCTGAAGGGGCAACCGGGCCCCTCGCCCCGCCTGGACCCACGGCTGCTGGACACGGACGCCTTTGCCCTGGCCCAGGGCTCCCCCGGGGGCTTTGCCGGGCTGCCCCTGGCCCCCGCCTCGCCGCTGCTGGAGGGGCCGGCGCTGGCCCCCACCAAGGCCCGCAGCCCCGGGGCGGGCGAGGGTCGCTGCGCCGTCTGCGGGGACAACGCCTCCTGCCAGCACTACGGCGTGCGCACCTGCGAGGGCTGCAAGGGCTTCTTCAAGGTAAGGGACCACCACCACCCCCGCCCCGATCCACTGTCGGGATGTTCCCACAGTGCTTTGCAGCAGCGGGAGGATGCTGAGGGTCACCCTGGGGAAGAGCAGGGCAGGGAGCGCAGCCCCGGGAGCCCTCCCCACGGACGCGGAGCCGGATGCCGGGTTGGAGCGGGAGACGGGGGAGGACAGAAGGGCTTTTGTTCGGTGGCTTAGTGCCCCGGGCTGAGCTTGGGCCACTCCTTCCCCGTCCGCAGCGCACGGTGCAGAAGAACGCCAAGTACATCTGCCTGGCCAACAAGGACTGCCCCGTGGATAAGCGGCGGAGGAACCGCTGCCAGTTCTGCCGCTTCCAGAAGTGCCTGGCCGTCGGCATGGTCAAAGAAGGTACTGGGGTCCCGTCCTGGCATGGGGGGGGTCCCAGCAGGAGTGGGGAGGCCCCACTCTGCAGCCCATCTGGCTGCGCTGAGGACACACACGCTCATTGCACGTCCCTCACCGCAGTGGTCCGGACCGACAGCCTGAAGGGGCGGCGGGGCCGGCTGCCCTCCAAGCCCAAGCAGCCACCAGATGCGTCCCCCGTCAGTCTCATCACTTCCCTGGTGCGGGCGCACATCGACTCCATCCCCAGTGCCACCAAGCTCGACTACTCCAAGGTAGGACCGGTACCATCCTGCGCCCTCCTCGGGCCTGTGCCGAAGCCGGATCCTGACCCCGTTCCCCTGGCAGTTCCAGGAATCGGTGCCGTGCCAGTTCGAGAAGGAGGACTCGGTGGACGTGCAGCAGTTTTACGACCTGCTCACTGGCTCCATGGACGTCATCCGCAAGTGGGCTGAGAAGATCCAGGGCTTTGCTGAGCTGCCCAAGGAGGACCAGGACCTGCTGCTGGAGTCAGCCTTCCTCGAGCTCTTCATCCTGCGCCTGGCGTATCGGTAAGACCCGGCACGGTGCTGTGCAGCGGGGAGCCTGGGGCTGTGCAGTTTGGGGTGACGTGTTGTTGTACCCGCAGCTCCAAGCCGGAGGAAGGGAAACTCATCTTCTGCAACGGAGTGGTGCTGCACCGCCTGCAGTGCGTGCGGGGCTTCGGCGAGTGGATCGATGCCATCCTCGAGTTCTCCCAGAGCCTGCACCGCATGAACGTCGATGTCCCCTCCTTCTCCTGCCTCGCCGCCCTTGTCATCATCACAGGTGAGACCCTCTGCCCGGTCCTTCCCTGCCTCTGTCCCCTTCCCCACCCTGCGGCCATCACCCTGGCCTCACGCCTCTGCATGTGTGTGTGTGTTCCCCAGACCGCCATGGGCTGAAGGAGCCGAAGCGGGTGGAGGAGTTGCAGAACCGCATCGTGGGCTGCCTGAAGGACCATGTGGCGGCCGCCGGGGCCGAGCAGGGCCGTCCCGGCTGCCTCTCCAAGCTGCTGGGCAAACTGCCCGAGCTGCGCAGCCTCTGCACCCAGGGCCTCCAGCGCATCTTCTACCTGAAACTGGAGGACCTGGTGCCACCACCGCCCATCGTCGACAAGATCTTCATGGACACACTGCCCTTCTGAGCCCCCGGGTGGAGGGGCTGCCACCAGCCCCTGACCTGCCCCCCCCCCCGGGGACATTTCAGTCCCCCCTCAGATGCCTGGGTCCTCTTGGGGACACCCAGGTCCCCTATGTGCCTTCACGGCGCCGGGCGCAGACGCACAGCACCGCCGGTGCCTTTCCCCCCCAGGGGGGGACATCGCTGGCGCGGTGCTCCCCTTCTCCACTGTAAAAATGCCCCCATTGTAAATAGCGAGCGGCCGGATCCTGTACAGAGTGGGGAGCACGGGGGTGAGGAAGGGGCTCCGGCCCCCCCAGCCTCATCCCCCTCCCCTTTATATTTTTTTCTTTTTTTTTTTT